GTTATTTGATTACATAATGTCAGTATAGCATGACAGTGGCATAATGTAAAATGCCTAATTAGCAGCTTTGAAACAAAAAAAAACTGCTTTATGTGTTAATGAGGCTTAGTTAGCCTTACCAATTATATCTTCACCGACATTAAACTACTGAATCTTATTCTAACCACTCTGAAAGGCACACTAGAATACTTTCATGTTAAGCATCACCTTTTCTGAGTGGAAATAAACTGGTTCCATAATGAATTTATTATTGCATGTTGGGCACTTAAAAAAATACTGTTCTCCTTTCTGGGGACAACTGTTGGAATTTTGAACCCATAATTACTTTCTATAATTAGCTACTCTATATTCTGTAACATGGGGTACTTAGCTAATGAATGTGAGAATCTCAAAGCCTATTTCCTCTGTTGAAAAGTAAGGTACTTCCATAGCAATAAATCTGATACAGGACTGTGATTCTGGGCAGAGAGCAGGGAGGAGCAGGTAACTTTGGCCCCAGGGTGTCTCAGTAGCAGTTACCTCTAACCACTATGCTAAATTACTAACAAAAGAAATGTACATCCTGCCTTATATGTAATGGTGATAAGCTAGAGGCCTTTCCAATAAAGGAAAATTGGAGTAAAGTAAGGATGCCTATTATCATCACTACTATTTCATATAGTGCTAGAAATGCTAGCTATATAAATAAAATAAGAAAAAGAAATTGAGACAATAAGCATAGGCAGAGAAGAAGAAGTGAAAACAGGAGTAAAGGTTGTCATTGAGGCAATGCATGATAGGAAAAAAACCAGATAAGTCATGTGACAAGGATGAAACATTATAGGTAAACAAAGTACTCCGTTGGTATTCTCATGATGTCAGGAGCAAGTGCAGAAGACCTCTAGCACTTTGGGTGGACTCTCTGTGTTTAACTTCTATAATAATATTGTTGAGTCACACAAGATAGGCAGGCGTGGATGGATTATGGTATGCATCATTAGAGTGAATGCCCAAACTGATGAGATCACAAATCCATTTGAATAAACCTGATTTTGTTGAAGTGAGCAAAACATGGACAAGAATAACACAGAATAGACAAGCATGGATGGGTTGTGATCCATATTATCAAAGAGAACTCCTCAATTGATGAGATCACAAATTCATTTGAGTGTTTGAGCCTTGTTTCTTAAAAGATACATAGAAACATGAAACATTTAAGGTGAAGATATTGAAGAAATAAATGTAACCCTTGACTCAAATGACCAATTTCATATACAGATATAAAAAAAAGACAGTCCCTGCTCTCAATGAGCTTACAATCTAATGGAAGAACACACCAAATGAAGTTGAAAAGGGTAGGAGAGAGAGGAGAAGTTACCTGATGTAGGGGCAGGGTGAAGTCAGTCAAAGTCCCAAAGTAATGTAGCCAGACAAGAAATGAAATATCTGAGCTGAGCTCTCTCCTTAAATGGAGGTTTGTAGTTCATGGCCCCACCCTCCAATCAGAGAGACAAAGGGCAACAGTGATGAGGCAGGGTACCAAGACTAATGAGATCCTGTTGGATAGATCTTGAACTAGAGCCATTATCTCATCAATGAAAATATTCCTTCCAATGATATAGACCTCAACTATCTATGCCCATCCACTGAAACCTTGTCCATAAGTTCACTCCAGATACTCTACACAGTGCGACAGGGGCCTTGCTCAAGTTTTCTTGATGTTGTGGCAGACACTAACAAAGCATATGGCCTATCAATCATCTCTAATTCATGCTATGTGACCAGCCCATCTTTCTTTCAAGTTGCAAATTTCTCCGATGACATCCTTTACACTATATCTCCTTTTCTAATCTCACCCAAAGCCATAAGATCAAACCTGTCTTGAAAATACTTCTTGTAGGCCCTGCAGAATGAATGTGTAGACTATGGATAGCCACGAGTATGCAGGGAGCAAAAATGCCAAGACAAGGAAGCATCAAGAAAGAAAAATTATACAAGTAGGAATGCACATCAGGAGATAGCAAATAGCATCATGTAATAGAAGTACTGGCTCTGGATTCAGAGGACCTGGGTTCAAATCTTGGATCTGGCCCTTACTATCTGGGAGACTTTGGACAAAGCACTTTTACTTTGCTGGGTTTTACATTTATACTTTTCACACCACAAGGGTTGGAGGGGATGGACATCCCCACAATCTGGAAAATCTGCACGAAATGTTTTGGCCCTCCCTTTGTAGCAGTGAAGAACTCTGAATTTTTTCTTTTTCTTTCATGGGGTGTCTACAGTACCTTTTTGCAAAATCTGGGTTGATATTATACAATATTATGCATACACTTTATGCATTTCTGAGTTTCTAAACTTTTTCTGCATTATCTTCTGGCCTTTGCATATCATCTGTGGCTTCTGCAAAACACCCCCAAAAAATGCCAATTTAATTTTTTATGCTGATCCTCAATGTATTGAAATTGTGATAGGGAAAGTCATGATGTGGAGGGGATAACTGAAGTTCCTTCATCTGTAAAATAAAGAGATTGGATGACCTCTAAAGTCCTTTCTAACTCTAAATCTATGCTCCTGACTAAAGTGGAAAGCTCTTGTAATAGGAGAATAAATTAGTTTGGAAAGGTAACCTTTATAAACTCTGAGTCACTCAATACATTGAAGCTTGGTTTTGCTTCATACAGCATAAACCAAAAAGTCAAAATTAAGGAAAAAGAGAGCTCTCAGTTTTAGTCTTACAATAAAAAAAACGCTATGACATTCATTACATGTGTGTTGGTCACAACAGAAGTTGTGAGGCCGTTGATCCTCAGTTTTATTACTTCTGATGCCATTCTAATCATGATTTTTTGATGGAAGCAACAGGATAGATATTCTCCAATTCTTACCATGCTATTCCCCTGCTAAGACTCTTTGGTGACTTCTCATTGCCATTAGGATAAAGTATAGACTCTCGTTTGGCATTGAAAGGCTTTCACAATCTAGCTCCAACCTCTCTTTCAAAGCCAATTACATATTACTCCCCCACAAACGCTATGCTGCAGCCAAACTGGTCTGCTTGCTGTTTCCCACACAAAGCATCCCATCGCCTACCTCTTTGCTTTTACCTGGCCTGGCTTCCACATCTGGAATGCTTTCTCTCTTCACCTATGTCTCTTGGAACTCCTAGCTCCCTTCAAGCTTCAGTTAAAGTATCACCTCACCTGCTTCTCCCAGATGTTAAAGCCCTTTCCCAATTCACAATGTATTTATATTGTATTTACTTACCTGTGAACATGTTGTATCCCCCTAGCAGAATAGAAGTCCCTTGAGGACTGGGACTGACTGTATTAATTTAGCCTTTGTATTCTCAGGGCCTAGAACGGTGTTTAGCAGATAGTGTTTACTGACTGGTTTGATGTGAAGAATCTCCATGTTGAAACAGAAAGGAAGGGAAAGCTCTGGAGAGAGAAAAAAAGTTAACCTTAAATAGACAGAGTGACATTGTGGATAGAGCTTCTGGTCAAGAACAAAATGGATTTAGGTCCCATCTCTAACTCATTCTGTCTGTATGACACTGAGTAAGTCACTTAGCTTGTTGGTGTTCCAGGAAACTTTCTTAGACTAAATTACAGAGCAGATGTTGAATTGTACTGGGAGTTCCCTACCCCAGTGAAATCGGAGGCCTGAACAATAATAGCAACAAAAATCCAAACGTTGAATAAGACATAAGTTCAAGGCCAAGATCATAGGAACACAGATCTAGTCTGGAAGCAACCTTGAAAGCTAGCTATCCAGTCCAATCTCTACATTAGAAGTTAAAATACTTATCCAAGGCTACACAGGTGGTGTCGGAAGTTGGGGTTTTTATCTAGGCCCTCTGAATCCAGAGATAATGTTCTTTCTAACCCCACTCAAAGCGAAACATTCAAGGAAGGCCACAGAAGCAGAAATGTGTATGGGGAGGGGGCCAGGAAGGGAGAACAATGGACTGGGACTCAGGAACACAGGGTTCCGGCTCTGACACTCCCTCTGTGGGCTAGGGTAAGTCACTTCATATTTTTCCTCAGTTTACCTCATCTGCAAAATGAGGGGAACTCTCATTCCCTTTCAGCTAGGAGGTTCCATAATTCCCTGAATTCCCTACTTCTACCAAGCTGTATAAGTGCAAATTCCCCAGCAGGAGGAGAAATGACTCTTTGCTGCCTCCTTCACATTTTGAAAGAGTGATGCCTAATGTCACATGGAAACAGATTTAAATTGGAGTGTTTTGTCATGGCACATTATGAGCATTTGCTATTTATAGACCTTCAAGTCAAACAGGAGTAATAATTAGTAAATATTCTGAAATGGGCAGTATTTTGCTTCTGACATGTTAAATTCATCACCACATTCTTTCAAAGATAGCTCATATTTGCCACCTACTAATAAACCACTCAGTGTTCTATTACTAGCAAGCAAAAGCCAAGATCTTCCTATGAAATATTGTTATAAGAAAGAAAGAAAGAAAAAGGGAAAGAAAGAAGGAAAGAAAGAAAGAAAGAAAGAAAGAAAGAAAGAAAGAAAGAAAGAAAGAAAGAAAGAAAGAAAGAAAGAAAGAGAAGGAAGGAAGGAAGGAAGGAAGGGAAAAAAAGAAGGAAGGAAGAGTCAAAAAGGAGAAAAAACATGTAGTCCAAGTAAATACTTTCACTGAAAAAACAAGAGTCCAACTGATTAGCCTTTACAGAGGTAGCTAAATCCTTCTTTTATAGGCTGCTACTCCCACTTTTTTCTCTCATGTTTTCAAAACATGAGAATTTTACCAGTACCCAAAACAATGTCCAAAAATTTTGAATGCTGCTTTAGTCCATGGTTGTGTAGATTTTCCTGATTTTTAAAAAATTTAATCTTTGCATTGCCCACCCCCACCTCCACCCCCGTTGATTGTTTTGGAACTTGTAAAGTATGCTGGCTCAAGATGTGTGTTTTTGGCTAGAAGGGAATATTTAGAAATTCCTACCCAAAAAAACCCAGTGGGAGTGGAAATTTAAAAGAGGACCGCCTAATTCAGCAGTGAGATGACGGTGAGGAGCAGCGTGTGTGTGTGTGTGTGTGTGTGGTGTGTGTGTGTGTGTGTGTGTGTGTGTGTGTGTGTAAAATGTGTCTTTCAAAGTGCTGAGAGGCCAAGGGGAATGTTTGATTAGCTGCTCTCAGGAAGAGAGAAAAGGTGCTCAGACCTCTACTTTGTTTCTTTCTTCTCTAAGATAATTTAGCTGGAATTTGGGATGCAGAGACGCTTGGGGGGGAAAGGATATTCCTTCGGTGTGGTGGAAAAAATTTGAAAATATTGCACACTTCAAATAAGGTATGTCTATCGGCTCAACTTCTGAGCTTTGTGTGGAGTTTGCTTTTTTCATTGTTAGAAGATCATGAAAATGTGTTTGTTATTAAGAAACAGCAGCAGTGGCACTGACTAGCTGTCCTTACTGGCAAATTACTAAGGGTCCCAAGAGGGAATCCTTTAGAAGGAAAGTAACATTATATATATATATATAATTGCATCTTATGTTCAACTCTTGGATACATGCAATCTATTTCTTTCGCCACATATTTAAACCAACTGAAATTTACACATTTATTTACTTTACTTTTTTCCTCCATCTTTTTATGCCTTGTTTGTGCTTATGGACTATTTAATTAGGAAAAGTAATGTCAGAAATGGAAATAATAATCATCATATGAAGTTAAAAGTGAAATTGATTTCTGTGCATCTATGTTTCTCTCTTCAGGTAGCTGTTTACGGGATTTGGCTTACGAAGTCTGTTTATGGTGTGTGTGGGTGTGTGGGTGTGTGGGTGTGTTTAGCCTGAATAGTCTTTTAGGGATAAGCCTGTGGGAATGAATGGCATTGTTAAAGTCTGCCATAGCAGCTCCACTATTCATGGAGAAACAGGATATGTGATATCTTCAAAGCATGATTTGTGTCAAACCAGTATAAACATGAAACAAATACCTCCCGCTCATGTGGAGCTGAGAGAATCAGCCCAAATAATGAGGGTTGATAACGGGTTCCTAACACTCTGGGGTAATAGGGCCAGAATCTATTAGAAAATGGACTTCACAATTTTCTTAAGGTATCTTTTAAAAATACCGCTATACATATTTGGCCAAAGCAATCATTTAAAAAGTATGAGCACTTTTTAAAAAAGTGGCATTCTGTCCTCACATTCCAGTGCAATAAATCAGGGCATTTTGATGGTGATTGAAAAAAAAAAAGGTTTAGTGCTTTCTGGGTTTGTTTCTTAGTTTTTATTTATTTAATTAATTTTTGCTCTGGCAAGATAAAGATATCCTTAGGCAGATCATAATCAAATGACATTTGTTTGTATATTTTCTTTGAATGTTGACTTGAGCATTACTTTAGAAGAGGGAGCAGTAGAATCAGAGGACTCGGTTCAAATCTTGGTTTTGCCACCTCCTACCTGTATAAACTGACGCTAGTTGTCTAACTTCTTTGTGCCTCAGTTTCCTTATCTGGAAAATGAAGGGGTTGGATTTAATGACCTCTAAGCTCCCTTCTAGCTCTCAATCTATAATCCTATGTAAGCTGAGCTACTAGCTTTGATTTGATTAATTAAAATCCCCCCTTTCTTTGAAGGGCTGTCAGCCTAAGAACTGTAAGGCTACAGATGCTCCATTATTAATTGCCATGGACTGGCTCCTGGGGATTAAGCTTCATTTTGAGGAATATGTCAAACAAATGCCTTTGTCTGTACTGCATCTTGGTAATAAAAGCATATACCTCACCAGGAACACAGGAAATGTTAATGATCAATCTCAAAGCCCCATTTTCTTCATTCACGTCATTCATGTCATTATATAAGTTTTATAAAATTATTCATATGGGGAAAAATTGAAGAAATAAAATTTTCATATTCCAAACAAGTACTTCTTTTGGATAGATTTCTGTGCTTCGTGGAGTTTGCTTTCCACTGTAATATAATGAAAATATATATTACTAAGACAGTAGGAAGGTATAATCTCCCTTTTGTTTTTGTGCTCTCAGAGCTCAGCATATGCTAGGTACTCAACAAATGTTGGTGAAGTAGTTGACTGTTTTATTGAGAGGCTTATGAATTGTGCAATTAGAATTTCAACATTTTCTCAATTGATCCCTAAAATTCCCAGAGCAGAAACTGTATGGCAGGAAAGCAAAGTGGTGCTGTGGAAAGAAGACTCTAAGTGTAGGCCTAGCAACAGACTGCTGTCTTAGGACCAATCTAGAGAAGTTAGAGATGTTTTAACTCATAAACTTTGCACTGGTAGGAACTTTAGAAGTTATCCATTCTATCTTCTTCATTTTACATATGAGAAAACTGATAGGAATACAGGCTAAGTGACTCAACCAAAGTCATTTGGTCAAAAGACAAAATCTGAGCTCAAGTCCTCTAAAACTACATCTGGGATTGTTTACACTGCACCCACACTGCTGGTTCTATTCTACATCCTCTATAAACACTGACCTCTAATCCATGACAAGCCTCCAAAGTCCCTTCCAGGTCTAATGTATGAACCTATGATCCCATATTTCAAATGATGCGCTTCCCTAAACTTAGTTCAACTTAATTCGACAGGCTCCCACTATGTGCTAGGCTATATATTGTGCTAAGTACAGTGAGGATCAAATAAGAAAACCTATGTAAAGCACTTTGCAAACCTTAAAGACCCTTATAGATATCCACTATTGCCATTATTTTTATTGTTGTTATTAACGACACAGAGAATTGCAGAATCTCAAAGGTGGAAGATACCTCAGTGACTATTTAGTTCAACCTATGCTTGAAAACAAATCCTTAATACAACCTACTCAACAAGAGATTATCCAACCTTTGCTTTGAAGAGTTCCAAAGAGGTGGAGGCCATTCTACTTTAGGATGGCTTAATTAATTAAAAATTAATCATTAGGAGGTTTTTCTTGACTCAAATGGATCCAAGATCTCATTGATTTGAAAGTTCCCTCTAATTATGCAAATTGCAATCCATCCATGACTTTCTATCTGGTGTGCTCCCAGAGTTCACCACAGGGAGCCAACCCAAGGCAATCCTCTCTCTTCTGACTTCAAAAGAAGTCCTTAATCCTCACCATGTTATCAGCACATTTTTTTCTTATATCATCCATTTCCTTGATGAGAACTTATTCTTACTCTTTAAAGCACCTTACTGATTAGTTATTACAGCTGCCTCACACTCACAATATGCCTCTCCATTGTTATCTGTGTGAAATTCATTTTTGTTTCTGCAGAAACTATCATAGTGCATGTCTCACTGCCATATGACATCAAGCCTAAATTTGTCTTTCTGAAAATTCCATATATAGTTCCTATTTCTGCCTTCTAAGGTCAAAGGGAAGAAATCTAATTCCTCTTGCTGAATTTAGAGTCATTATAACTCACTACCTATTAAGTAGCTTTTTAAGTAAGTCATAACTTCTCTGGACCACAGTTTCCTTATCTCTAAAATGGGTGGGAGGAAGAGTTATACTAGATGCCCTCTAAGGTGGCATGTCCTAAAAGGCCCTGAGAGCTAGCATCTAATGGAATAACCTTTAAGAACTCATTGCTACTTGCACAGATAAGGAGGCATCAAAATAGGGCCTTTCTGGGAATCTATTTCAATTTTTTTTTTACCAGACCTATGATTTCATTCACAAAGGGAACTCCCAATGGGGGAATTTCCTTTACTAATGTAGTTTGACACCTTGTAAATAATAATAGCTAGCATTTATATAGATCTTAATATGTACCAGGCATTGTGCTAAGCACTTTACAAATATTATCTCATTTGATCCTCACAACAATCCTGGGAGATAGAAACTGAGGTTCAGAGGTTAAATGACTTATCTACCATCACATAGCTTTTAAGTGTCTTTGGTAGGATTCAAAACTAGGTCCTCTTCCCATAAACCTTTTGTTCTCTCTACAATTATCTCTTCCACATTGTGGCTTTCCCCATCATGGTTTCGATATATCACAGGTCAGCATAAGAAATTCAACAGGAATTTTGAGGGAGTTTTGCAGAAGCAGCAGACCACACAGAGAGGCCAGCAGACAACACAGAAAAAGTTTAGAAACTCAGAAATGCATGAAATATATGTATAGTATTATAGAGTATCAGCATATTTTTATCTTTTAATACCATGATAATTCAGGCTTCTCTGGTACAAAAGGAGGGCCAAAAATTTTTACATGGATTTTCCAGATCATGGAGGCATCCCTAACCCCAGCAATGTGGAAAGGATAACTCCTACACTCCCTTGCATCCTATCTCCTTAAGCAACCCCTTCCTGCTTTTGGATAGCTCTGCTTGAAATACTCATAGAACTGAAATCTGCCTCTGAAGCTTCTACCACCCATTCCTTCCAGCTTTGCCTTTTAGCACCAAGAATTCCTTCATGAAGACTTCTCTAACCTCCTACCTCCCTACCAAACAAATAATGTCTCCTCTTATAAACTCCTTTGGCAGTGCATTCATATTTCTGTTGTGGGGTTTACCATATGCTACATTGTTTTATGGTACTTTGAGCACATCTTATCACCCTATTCCATGGGTGTCTTATTTAATTTTGCATAGCCGTACCTTCTGGCATGGTGCCTTTGTAATCAATAAACCTGCATTTGTTAAAAGCTTGCAATATACCAGGCACAGTGCTAATCTCTAAGGATCTCATCTGCTATAGAGCTGCCTCCAAGGGCCTGCTTGCTTTCTCCACCATTGTGTCGCTTATCTGTCACCTGTCCTCGAGGAAGTTAGGGAATATGAACCAAACTATTTGAGCAGCTGAACCTGGCTTCAAAGTGGCTCATGTGAAAGTGGGGGCAATGGGAGTGAGAGGTAGGATCCTAAGACCTCTTCCCAAGCATCCTGTTGAGCTTTCCTTGACTCAGCCTCAATGAGTTACCTGCCTTAGAAATGGCCTCTATAGTTGCAGTGTGCTGAGGTCTCCATCCACAAGATTGTCCCCAGGTCTTTGTCTCTGTCCCATGGGAGGTTCCTACTCCTATATGAAGTCCAAGATCTCTCCCCA